TCATTTCAATTTGTTTTTATATCGCCCTAAATCACAACAGTAGTTACTTTACGAAGCTGTCAATGATCCATCAGAGAATCGAACAATTAAAACACAAGAAAGTTAATGGTAAAAACACACAGAGCCATTGATCCATCAGGAGCAGAGAAGAGGGATTCACCGGTATCACTTTTTCCCAAACCGATACGAGTTCTGCTCACAGACTGTGAACATTACTTTTGTTCTCTCTGGGAATTTATAAAACTAATACAACTGAAATTTAAGATCTTTCATTTCTCTTTTCAAAAATAAAAAAAAAGCTTTAGTAATTAAAAATGTTAGCAATTGTTTTAACTCCACAGACGTCTTGTTCTTTAGCCTCAGATTATCTCAGATTATCTCAGATTATCACGTCGGAGCCAGTGGCTGCAGCTCACTGAGAAAAGCCGTGGTCTCCGGTCGGCCATCTTAGTTTTCCAAAAATATGCGTTGCCGTGGTGACGCGCGCCGCAGGGAGACCGCCGAGATGATTACGGCCTTTTCAACTGAACCTTAGCAACAGGTTTGGAGAGAAAACCAGCTTTTGAAGTGGTTTCTGGGATAGCTTTACACAACAAGTCATTTCACAACAGTGGGAGCTCGTGTGGGAGAAAAAACAGCCTCAGCACAAAAACATCCACTACTCTGAAACTTTAGAGAGAATTTCCCGCCACAAAAGTTCAGTTCTTCACCAGATTTATTTAATATAAGTGATTTAAATTGTTGTTTACCTTTACTCACTTTAAATACGTGCCAAAACTGGTGAACGTAACTGAAATACAGCAACGGCCGTTTGCTGACAAGCTAAATGCTAACTGTGTTGCTATGGTAACTAGCACTGGCTCTTAAAGGGAACAACTACTTTATTTTATTTTTAATTTTATTCTATTTATTTTACAGGAACATCGTAGTCATACATAGACACATTAGGGAAGATGCAGCTGATTCGGAGTGTATTGCTAATGCTAATGCTAATGCTCCTGTCGAGTTGAGCTTTTAAAGTAGTAAAATGTAAGATTTTCATGTCAAGTCATCATTAAATGGCTCTAATCTGTCAAAAGACTTTGGCCTGAGTCTGACCATCTGATTCTGAGACGATCGCTACACAGCTGCTCAAACACAGCTGCTCAAACACAGCTGCTCAGACACAGCTGCTCAGACACAGCTGCTCAGACACAGCTGCTCAGATACAGCTGCTCAGACACAGCTGCTCAGACACAGCTGCTCAGACACAGCTGCTCAGACACAGCTGCTCAGACACAGCTGCTCAGACACAGCTGCTCAGACACAGCTTCTCAGATACAGCTGCTCAGATACAGCTGCTCAGATACAGCTGCTCAGACACAGCTGCTCAGACACAGCTGCTCAGATACAGCTGCTCAGACACAGCTGCTCAGACACAGCTGCTCAGATACAGCTGCTCAGACACAGCTGCTCAGACACAGCTGCTCAGACACAGCTGCTCAGATACAGCTGCTCAGACACAGCTGCTCAGATACAGCTGCTCAGATACAGCTGCTCAGACACAGCTGCTCAGATACAGCTGCTCAGACACAGCTGCTCAGACACAGCTGCTCAGATACAGCTGCTCAGACACAGCTGCTCAGATACAGTTGCTCAGATACAGCTGCTCAGACACAGCTGCTCAGACACAGCTGCTCAGATACAGCTGCTCAGACACAGCTGCTCAGACACAGCTGCTCAGATACAGCTGCTCAGACACAGCTGCTCAGACACAGCTGCTCAGACACAGCTGCTCAGACACAGCTGCTCAGATACAGCTGCTCAGATACAGCTGCTCAGATACAGCTGCTCAGATACAGCTGCTCAGACACAGCTGCTCAGACACAGCTGCTCAGATACAGCTGCTCAGACACAGCTGCTCAGACACAGCTGCTCAGATACAGCTGCTCAGACACAGCTGCTCAGACACAGCTGCTCAGACACAGCTGCTCAGATACAGCTGCTCAGACACAGCTGCTCAGATACAGTTGCTCAGATACAGCTGCTCAGACACAGCTGCTCAGATACAGCTGCTCAGACACAGCTGCTCAGATACAGCTGCTCAGACACAGCTGCTCAGATACAGTTGCTCAGATACAGCTGCTCAGACACAGCTGCTCAGACACAGCTGCTCAGATACAGCTGCTCAGACACAGCTGCTCAGACACAGCTGCTCAGATACAGCTGCTCAGACACAGCTGCTCAGATACAGTTGCTCAGATACAGCTGCTCAGACACAGCTGCTCAGATACAGCTGCTCAGACACAGCTGCTCAGACACAGCTGCTCAGATACAGCTGCTCAGACACAGCTGCTCAGATACAGTTGCTCAGATACAGCTGCTCAGACACAGCTTCTCAGACACAGCTGCTCAGATACAGCTGCTCAGACACAGCTGCTCAGATACAGCTGCTCAGATACAGCTGCTCAAACACAGCTGCTCAGACACAGCTGCCCCGAGTCACTCAGTGTGGCGCCCCCTGCAGGTGGGCGGCATGGTGGCCCTACCACTAACAATATGTACAATGGTTCTGGCATGTGCCTCCTGTACCGCTTTGAGACTCTGGTCTGTGAAAGGCGGTATATAAATAAAGATTACTTACTTACTTACTTAAAACCAGATCTTGTCAGACCTCTGAAGCTAAGCAGGGTAGGGCCTGGTTAGTGCTGTGATGGGAGACCTCTGGGAACACCAGGTGCCACAGTGGGGCGGCTGTAAAGTGCCAAACTGTGGCTGTGTCCTTAGGCAAGACACTTCCCCCACATTAGAATGAGTCTGGTGTGTGTGTGAGTGGTTGGTGGTGGTGGGAGGGGCTTCTGTCAGTGTGCCCCAGGGCAGCTGTACAAAACCGATTCATTATTATTATTATTGTTTTCACTGCTATAAGGAAATACAATAGTCCTGTTCTTTGGGCCTGAAATAAGTTTATTTGTGGAGTTTGAGATAAATGTTGATATTTATAAACTAGATACAACATCAATTTATTTTTGGATTTTGGACCAATTTTTTTGATTAAAAATATCTTTCATTCACTGTCTTCACGGGCTCCGTTAGTGGCAAAGGAGATGGCTAAAGCTAGGCTAAATGCTAAAGCTAGGCTAAATGCTAAAGCCAGGCTAAATGCTAGCTCCTCACACACTCGGGCTCATTACATACGTCACAGTAAACTCAGATCCAATGGTTTCAATCTGCAAAAGCAGTTAGCCCCTCCCACCTGTTAACGGAGTCAATGGAGCAGATCCAGACCTTAGTATGAAATGAAATGAGTACCATGGTGTGGTAAGACCAGGCCAATTTGTTGCTGCTAGTACTATGTTGTTTGAATAAAAGATACTAATTAAAAATATATTCTAAAACCCTGTATTCTAATAAAGGACGTACACTGTATTTCGGATCAGTGACAGTTTCTGGAGATGAATTGAACCAATGACGAGAGGCTTCAAGGATTTTAATGAATTTTCGACCAATCAGGAGGAGGCAGGGGTGAGAATGGGCGGGTCTTATAGACGTCTCACTCTCTCTTCACAGTTTGGAAAGTCTGGGGGCAGCTCCGGGGAATGACTCAAACACACGGATAAAAACTATTCTGAGTAAATGACAAGGAAGACGACAGTAACGCGGTGAAACGCTGAGAGCAGGCGGCCATTTTGAACCAAACACAGAGAGATGAAAGGCGCTGGACAAACTGTGCGGTTTTTTCTTGTTTTTCTGTCATTTCTCTGGTCTCCTGCTGGTCCCAGAGTCAGGACTGAACATGTAGAGGCAGCGTTTCAGATACATGCAGCAAAACTCTGGAACAGTCTTCCTGAAAATATGAGACAAGCTTCTACTCTGACGTACTGTATGGAAAACGGTTTGTATCATTTTGGGATTATTTCAGTGTGATTTTAACGTTTCTTGAATGTTTTTCATATGCCCTTTGAGTTGAGCTTCAATACAAAAGAACATGTTTGAACCAGAAGTTTCTTTGACGACTGTGGATAAAAGTAACTCCAGGTTTGTTGTTTTACTTAAGCTCTGTAAAATCTTTCATAGTTTTCATAATACACAGTGTCCTACTCTGTCCCGTTTCTCCCACTGGGTTTTTAGAGATTTTCCTCTGATGCAGGAGGCTCTAGGGTCTATGGCCCCCGGAGTGATGTGTGATTAGCATTAGCACTGGCCCGCACAGAGACAAAGCAAGATATTGGATTATTAATTTAATGTTCAGTGTTTTCTCTTTAAAAGAAGTTTGTTTTTGTCTGTTGAAAATAAACTATGGTTCATTAGGTTTTATACAATCATTTTAATATGTTTTAATAAACATTGGACCAGCCCGACCCTCGGCTTGTAGCAAAGTAGTTTTTTCAGCTTCTGATGTCTTTGACTTTGGTCTAAGGACAGAGAGGATCCAAAAACACTCCACATCCAACATTTACGAACTTCATCTGCCACGACTAGATCAACGGCTGTGCGTCAGGGGTGTCCAAACTTTAAACTAAGATGTCCGCTCTAGTTCCCCAGACTTGTCCAGGGGCCGACAACACGGATTGTTAAACTATTTTGACTAGAATTGGTCAATTTCGAGAAGCTAGAATAAGTATAACATTTACACATATATAACATCTGTGAGAGCTGAGGTTAGCTGCATAGCTTTGTTAATACTGTAGCTACATCAGAGCCACAGACACTTTACAATGAGGTATAACAGGCCAGTATTGGAGAAGCAGAAGTTGGCTGGATAACACTATGAACTTGTGTTTAAAATCCCAATGGTGTTTAGGGTTAGCAGGGCATAGGGCCACATAGAATGACACAGCGGGCCGCAATTGGCTCTCGGGCCTGAGTTTGGACATGTCTGCTCAATGTGTTTTCTATCAATGCATTTCCTGGGTTTGATTCTCTGATCTGTGATAGGTCGATACAAACATGAATTGAATAGACCATACTAATACAAATCCCAGGTAAATATCCTGAGCTCCACATGGTCTCGGTCTTACCTCCAGGCCGGTGTTGCGCGTGAGCCGTGGGGGTTCGTCGTTCACCGGGATCACGGTGACGGCGATGGTGAAGGGCAGACTCCGCCTCTCGATCTCGTACGCAGACGCCGACAGAGTGAACGAGTCCTCAAAGTTCTCACTGCTGTCGTGCATGTAGTACACCTGCCCATTCTTCAGCTGCAAGAGAAGAAGAGAGATCAGTCCTGGGTCTAAAGCCTCAGTCCTGGGTCTACAGCCTCAGTCCTGGGTCTACAGCCTCAGTCCTGGATCTACAGCCTCAGTCCTGGGTCTACAGCCTCAGTCCTGGATCTACAGCCTCAGTCCTGGGTCTACAGCCTCAGTCCTGGATCTACAGCCTCAGGCCTGGGTCTACAGCCTCAGTCCTGGGTCTACTGCCTCAGTCCTGCGTCTACAGCCTCAGTCCTGGGTCTACAGCCTCAGTCCTGGGTCTACAGCCTCAGTCCTGGGTCTACAGCCTCAGTCCTGGGTCTACAGCCTCAGTCCTGGGTCTACAGCCTCAGTCCTGGGTCTACCGACTCAGTCCTGGGTCTACAGCCTCAGTCCTGGGTCTACAGCCTCAGCCCTGGGTCTACAGCCTCAGTCCTGGGTCTACAGCCTCAGCCCTGGGTCTACAGCCTCAGTCCTGGGTCTACAGCCTCAGTCCTGGGTCTACAGCCTCAGTCCTGGGTCTACAGCCTCAGTCCTGGGTCTACAGCCTCAGTCCTGGATCTACAGCCTCAGTCCTGGGTCTACAGCCTCAGTCCTGGGTCTACCGACTCAGTCCTGGGTTTACAACCTCAGTCACTGGGTCTAAAGCCTTAGTCCTGGGTCTACAGCCTCAGTCCTGGGTCTACAGCCTCAGTCCTGGGTCTACAGCCTCAGTCCTGGGTCTACAGCCTCAGTCCTGGGTCTACAGCCTCAGTCCTGGGTCTAAAGCCTCAGTCCTGGGTCTACAGCCTCAGTCCTGGGTCTACAGCCTCAGTCCTGGGTCTACAGCCTCAGTCCTGGGTCTACAGCCTCAGTCCTGGGTCTACAGCCTCAGTCCTGGGTCTACAGCCTCAGTCCTGGGTCTACAGCCTCAGTCCTGGGTCTACAGCCTCAACATCTTACTTTGGACCAGAGCAGAGAGGATTCATGGTCTGAACCAAGCTCCACCTCTGCTGCTGTGACCTGAAGGACTCTTTATTATTATTATTATTATTATTATTATTATTATTATCATCATTGTTGTTGCTACTTTCAGAATGATCCATGTCTGTCTGTGTCTCTCTCTCTTTCTTTCAGGACCCGTGTCGGTAAAATGCTGATCTAAAGTTGTGACAGAACCTCAAATCAAATGTGTGAAAACTCAGAGAAAGCGAGGAATGTAGAAAGTTAGGTCCCCCAGCTTTAACCCTGTGCTACCCTCGGGCAAAAGGACCCACAGCAGATGATTCAGTGGCAGAAAAGCACCGTGGATTAGGGCCTAAATGAGTGGGTGTGTTTTGTGTGTCCGAGAACAGGAAGAGCTGACAGTGAAGTGGAAATATCAGATGAATGTGATGTGTTATTATGAAACACAAAGTCAGGGACCGCAGCTTTAACTCAGTGTGTTGTGGGCTTTAAGGTGAATAACGTTAGATTTGGTTTTCAGACGCACAATGCAGGTCTGTGCTGTGATACAACCCAACGCACAAAGAAATCAGTCATCAGAGGCGCTCAGAACAGCACCTGCGACTGGACACACACACACACGCTGACACACATTCACACACACTGACATACACACACACACACTGACATACACACACACAGACACACTCACACTGACACACAGACATACAAACTGACACACGCACACAGACACTCAGAGACACACAAACACACACAGAGAGACACACACACACACACTGACACACACACACACTGACATACACACACACTGACATACACACACACACACAAACACACGCTGACACACATACACCCACACACACACACACTGACACACACACACAGACATACACACACACACACTGACACACACACATACACACACTCACTCTGACATACACACACACACACACACTGACACACACACACACACAGACATACACACACTCACACACAGACATACACACACTGACACACACACACACACACACACTGACATACACACACTCACACATACACTGACATGCATGCACACACACACATCAACACAGACACACACTAACGCACGAAAGGGCTGGTCTCTCAGCAGCATGTTTTTAGTGGTAGGGGAAACTGGAGCACCCGGAGGAAACCTACTCAGACACGGGGAGAACATGCAAACTCCACTCAGAAAGGCTCTGTTCCAACCGGGATTCAAACCCAGGACCATCCACTCAGCCCCCCTGCCCCGTGCCGTTTCTTTCTTATGTTTTGAGGCTACATCTGGTCGTGTCCTTTCTTGACTGATCTTTAAAGCTGGGGGACGTAACTTTGAAATAAAACTCAAAACAGTAAAATCCTGATGACTGGTTGTGTGTGTTTTTAGATTAACATAAAACTGGCTGATTCTCTAATCTGTTGTTGACGAAGCGACAACTTTCTAAAAACTCATGGGGCTCGTTCTTACAACTAAACTACGTTGATGGGTTTTAGTGGCGCCAGACCTCTGACGCTGAGCGGGGCAGGGCCTGGTTAGTGCTGTGATGGGAGACCTCTGGGAACAGCAGGTGCCACAGTGGGGCGGCTGCGGCTGTAAAGTGCCAAACTGTGGTTGTGTCCTTCGGCAAGACACTTCCCCCACATTAGAATGAGTCTGGTGTGTGTGTGAGTGGTTGGTGGTGGTGGGAGGGGCCGATGGCACAGACTGGTTGCCTCGCTTCTGTCAGTGTGCCCCAGGGCAGCTGTGGCTACAGTAGTTTATCACCACTGTGTTTGGAGAGAGAGAATAATGTGAAGTCTTTGAGAGTTCTGGAAAAACCACTCCATCATTATTTACTACATAGTTCCATAATTAGGGGTTTGAAAGTTACATACCCTGCCTTTAATCCCGTCTACACACACACACACACACACACACACACACACACACACACACATACACACACACACACACACACACACACACACACACTCATGATAGATTGTTCCATTGTAGGACAAACACTGGCTCCTAATCACGGCTGGATTTCACATGCGTCTTTCATTTGGAAACGGTTTTGGGGTTTTAGTCGGAAAGATTCGTGCCGGGACAAAGTAAAGTCATTAATTCATCAATGTGGATCTCATTAAGACGGCGTTTTATAATCAGAAAACACAAACGCTGCGAGAAGACGAAGAAACCGCTCTGCAAAGATGAGGCCGGAGCATTATTATCAAATACAGATATCTCCAGTTTATTTTCCGCTTGTAGTTAGTTTTTACTCCTAAAGTTCACTTCTTTATCCATTATATATATTTACATATTGTTTTGATTCTGAAATTATTCTTGCTGCAGATTTATAATTTTTATTATAAACTTTTACCTGGTTTTATTTCGATATATTGGTTCTTTTCAGTCTTGCTCCATGTGTGTTAAACCATGTGCTCCTCCGGTTGTGTGTCCCTGTGTGTGTTAAACCCTGTGCTCCTCTGGTTGTGTGTCCCTGTGTGTGTTCGGGCCCTGTGCTCCTCTGGTTGTGTGTCCCTGTGTGTGTTTAGGCCCTGTGCTCCTCTGGTTGTGTGTCCCTGTGTGTGTTTATGCCCATTGCTCCGCTAGTCCCTGGGTTCGAATCCCGGTCAGAACGTGCCTGTGTAGGTTTCCTCCAGGTGCTCCGGTTTCCCCTACCACTAAAAACATGTACAATAGGTCTGACTGTAATGATTAAATGGTGTTTGGACAGAGGCTTTTGGACCATCCTCGAGAGGAAAGAAGACGCCATACAAAAGCATTGGGTAATTCTGTTTCCGGGTACACCCCCACAGGCCAGGAATGAGATTGCAGCATGACAGCGCAGGAGCTCAGGGACCTTTTGGAGCCGGGACCCGCCCACACAATTCATAAAATCAATCAATCCTAATTCTAAAAATGCATTTAAATACAAGAAGATAATCAAGGGCCGAAGGGAAAGGGTTCAAAGGGCGTGTTTAAAGTCTCTCTCTGTAGAATGTGGCCCTAGTTTTGTGAGTTCGAGACATTTATAAAAATAGATAAATTCTGAGTTTATTTTGGCTTCGGGCTCAAAGCTGCGACAGCGGCGTCAGATCTGCGACTATCGCGGCCAAGCGTCTGATTCCGAATGCATGAGGTTTTCAGGAGTTTGTTTTCATGCATTTTATTTCCCAAAGCTGCGGCGGCTCCAGGACCATGTGAGACAGACACACACGCTCTGCTGGTATCTCAGCTGCATCTCAGGTCTGTACCATGAATCTATAATACTATCTGGAAGAGTGTTACTAGTTTACAGCTGTCCCACACATGGGCACAGGGGGCGCTGTGGTACTGCAGGCTACATTCATGTGTTCTACCCAGAAAAATATCCACCAGACAGAGAACCTACAGAGAACCTACAGAGAACCTACAGAGAACCTGACAGAGAACCTGACAGAGAACCTACAGAGAACCTACAGAGAACCTGACAGAGAACCTGACAGAGAACATGACAGAGAACCTGACAGAGAACCTACAGAGAATCTGACAGAGAACCTACAGAGAACCTGACAGAGAACCTACAGAGAACCTACAGAGAACCTGACAGAGAACCTACAGAGAACCTGACAGAGAACCTACAGAGAACCTACAGAGAACCTACAGAGAACCTGACAGAGAACCTGACAGAGAACCTACAGAGAACCTACAGGGAACCTGACAGAGAACCTGACAGAGAACCTGACAGAGAACCTACAGAGAACCTACAGAGAACCTGACAGAGAACCTACAGAGAACCTACAGAGAACCTGACAGAGAACCTACAGAGAACCTACAGAGAACCTACAGAGAACCTGACAGGGAACCTGACAGAAAACCTACAGAGAACCTACAGAGAACCTACAGAGAACCTGACAGAGAACCTACAGAGAACCTGACAGAGAACCTACAGAGAACCTACAGAGAACCTACAGAGAACCTGACAGAGAACCTGACAGAGAACCTACAGAGAACCTACAGAGAACCTGACAGAGAACCTGACAGAGAACCTGACAGAGAACCTACAGAGAACCTACAGAGAACCTACAGAGAACCTACAGAGAACCTACAGAGAACCTACAGAGAACCTACAGAGAACCTACAGAGAACCTACAGAGAACCTGACAGGGAACCTGACAGAGAACCTACAGAGAACCTGACAGAGAACCTACAGAGAACCTGACAGAGAACCTACAGAGAACCTACAGAGAACCTACAGAGAACCTACAGAGAACCTGACAGAGAACCTGACAGAGAACCTACAGAGAACCTACAGAGAACCTGACAGAGAACCTACAGAGAACCTACAGAGAACCTGACAGAGAACCTACAGATAACCTACAGAGAACCTGACAGGGAACCTGACAGAGAACCTACAGAGAACCTACAGAGAACCTGACAGAGAACCTACAGAGAACCTACAGAGAACCTGACAGAGAACCTACAGAGAACCTACAGAGAACCTGACAGAGAACCTGACAGAGAACCTGACAGAGAACCTACAGAGAACCTGACAGAGAACCTACAGAGAACCTGACAGAGAACCTGACAGAGAACCTACAGAGAACCTGACAGAGAACCTACAGAGAACCTGACAGAGAACCTGACAGAGAACCTGACAGAGAACCTACAGAGAACCTGACAGAGAACCTGACAGAGAATCTACAGTTTCTAATGATCATCAGTGTTGTGGTTCTATAAACAGTTGTGTGTCCGCTCACACACAGATGTGGTTCTATAAACAGTTGTGTGTCCGCTCACACACAGATGTGGTTCTATAAACAGTTGTGTGTCCGCTCACACACAGATGTGTTTCTATAAACAGTTGTGTGTCCGCTCACACACAGATGTGGTTCTGTAAACAGTTGTGTGTCCGCTCACACACAGATGTGGTTCTGTAAACAGTTGTGTGTCCGCTCACACACACGTGTGGTTCTGTAAACAGTTGTGTGTCCGCTCACACACAGATGTGTTTCTATAAACAGTTGTGTGTCCGCTCACACACAGATGTGGTTCTGTAAACAGTTATCTATAATACTATCTGGAAGAGTGTTACTAGTTTACAGCTGTCCCACACATGGGCACAGGGGGCGCTGTGGTACTGCAGGCTACATTCATGTGTTCTACCCAGAAAAATATCCACCAGACAGAGAACCTACAGAGAACCTACAGAGAACCTGACAGAGAACCTGACAGAGAACCTACAGAGAACCTACAGAGAACCTGACAGAGAACCTGACAGAGAACATGACAGAGAACCTGACAGAGAACCTACAGAGAATCTGACAGAGAACCTACAGAGAACCTGACAGAGAACCTACAGAGAACCTACAGAGAACCTACAGAGAACCTGACAGAGAACCTACAGAGAACCTGACAGAGAACCTACAGAGAACCTACAGAGAACCTACAGAGAACCTGACAGAGAACCTGACAGAGAACCTACAGAGAACCTACAGGGAACCTGACAGAGAACCTGACAGAGAACCTGACAGAGAACCTACAGAGAACCTACAGAGAACCTGACAGAGAACCTACAGAGAACCTACAGAGAACCTGACAGAGAACCTACAGAGAACCTACAGAGAACCTACAGAGAACCTGACAGGGAACCTGACAGAAAACCTACAGAGAACCTACAGAGAACCTACAGAGAACCTGACAGAGAACCTACAGAGAACCTGACAGAGAACCTACAGAGAACCTACAGAGAACCTACAGAGAACCTGACAGAGAACCTGACAGAGAACCTACAGAGAACCTACAGAGAACCTGACAGAGAACCTGACAGAGAACCTGACAGAGAACCTACAGAGAACCTACAGAGAACCTGACAGAGAACCTACAGAGAACCTACAGAGAACCTGACAGAGAACCTACAGAGAACCTACAGAGAACCTACAGAGAACCTGACAGGGAACCTGACAGAGAACCTGACAGAGAACCTGACAGAGAACCTACAGAGAACCTGACAGAGAACCTACAGAGAACCTGACAGAGAACCTACAGAGAACCTACAGAGAACCTGACAGAGAACCTGACAGAGAACCTACAGAGAACCTACAGAGAACCTGACAGAGAACCTACAGAGAACCTACAGAGAACCTGACAGAGAACCTACAGATAACCTACAGAGAACCTGACAGGGAACCTGACAGAGAACCTACAGAGAACCTACAGAGAACCTGACACAGAGAACCTACAGAGAACCTACAGAGAACCTGACAGAGAACCTACAGAGAACCTACAGAGAACCTGACAGAGAACCTGACAGAGAACCTGACAGAGAACCTACAGAGAACCTGACAGAGAACCTACAGAGAACCTGACAGAGAACCTGACAGAGAACCTACAGAGAACCTGACAGAGAACCTACAGAGAACCTGACAGAGAACCTGACAGAGAACCTGACAGAGAACCTACAGAGAACCTGACAGAGAACCTGACAGAGAATCTACAGTTTCTAATGATCATCAGTGTGTGTGTGGTTCTATAAACAGTTGTGTGTCCGCTCACACACAGATGTGGTTCTATAAACAGTTGTGTGTCCGCTCACACACAGATGTGGTTCTATAAACAGTTGTGTGTCCGCTCACACACAGATGTGTTTCTATAAACAGTTGTGTGTCCGCTCACACACAGATGTGGTTCTGTAAACAGTTGTGTGTCCGCTCACACACAGATGTGGTTCTGTAAACAGTTGTGTGTCCGCTCACACACACGTGTGGTTCTGTAAACAGTTGTGTGTCCGCTCACACACAGATGTGTTTCTATAAACAGTTGTGTGTCCGCTCACACACAGATGTGGTTCTGTAAACAGTTGTGTGTCTCATCACACACAGATGTGGTTCTATAAACAGATGTGTGTCCGCTCACACACAGTTGTGTGTCTGCTCACACACAGATGTGGTTCTGTAAACAGTTGTGTGTCCGCTCACACACAGATGTGGTTCTGTAAACAGTTGTGTGTCTCATCACACAAAGAGGTGGTTCTATAAACAGATGTGTGTCCGCTCACACACAGATGTGGTTCTGTAAACAGTTGTGTGTCTGCTCACACACAGATGTGGTTCTTTAAACAGTTGTGTGTCCGCTCACACACAGTTGTGTGTCCGCTCACACACAGATGTGGTTCTGTAAACAGTTGTGTGTCCGCTCACACACAGATGTGGTTCTGTAAACAGTTGTGTGTCCGCTCACACACACGTGTGGTTCTGTAAACAGTTTTGTGTCCGCTCACACACAGATGTGTTTCTATAAACAGTTGTGTGTCCGCTCACACACAGATGTGGTTCTGTAAACAGCTGTGTGTCTCATCACACACAGATGTGGTTCTATAAACAGTTGTGTGTCCGCTCACACACAGATGTGGTTCTATAAACAGATGTGTGTCCGCTCACACACAGATGTGGTTCTGTAAACAGTTGTGTGTCCGCTCACACACAGATGTGGTTCTGTAAACAGTTGTGTGTCTCACCTCGCTCCAGGTGAAGTAGGGGACCTCGTCCCCGTTCATGGAGCGCAGCTCTCCGTGCTGAGGCGGGTCTTCCACCACGAAGTCCAGGCTGGCCAGAGCGTAGAAGGCGTGGGAGACGTTGACCACGGCGCCGTCGATGATGCGGCTCTGACCCTCCTTCACCGTGAGGTTCTGGGTCTGGACCGGGATCAGTCTGGGCACGATGTTCACGAAGACCTGCAGATCCTCCACCGCCGTGAAACCGTTACTGACGTCCACCGTGAACACGTCCTCTCCCTGCGGAGACGCACACCGCGGTTAGACACACAGACCTGTGCTTTAGGAAAGTTACTTTGTTAGAATCATCTGGAAACAAAAAAACAACTGCAGTTCACCGACCACATTTATGGTGTCTCTGCTCCTGGACCATCGGCTCTGTGAGTTTGAACGGTCTGATTCTCTGATTCTCTGATTCTCTGATTCTCTGATTCTCTGATTCTCTGATTCTCTGATTCTCTGATCTGCTGTTGGAGAATCAACAGTTTTAAAGTCCTCAGAGAAACGACTGCTGTGATTCAGGACCATTCAGGAAAAGACTGGATTGAATTTAATTTAATGATTGAGTCGTGACAATGTGCTTTTTCTTTGATCATTTCATTGATTTTTTTGAGTTCTCCCCAGTCCTGGTCAGTCCTGGTCAGTCCTGGTCAGTCCTGGTCAGTCCTGGTCAGTCCTGGTCAGTCCCGCTGAGGCCTGGTCAGTCCCGGTCAGTCCCGGTCAGTCCTGGTCAGTCCTGCTGAGGCCTGGTCAGTCCCAGTCAGTCCCGGTCAGTCCTGCTGAGGTCTGATCAGTCCCGGTCAGTCCTGGTCAGTCCTGCTGAGGCCTGGTCAGTCCCAGTCAGTCCCGGTCAGTCCTGGTCAGTCCTGCTGAGGCCTGGTCAGTCCCGGTCAGTCCCGGTCAGTCCTGGTCAGTCCCGCTGAGGCCTGGTCTGTCCCGGTCAGTCCTGGTCAGCCCCTGTTAGTCCCGTCAGTCCCGTCAATCCCGGTCAGTCCCGTCAGTCCCGTCAGTCTCGGTCAGTCCCGTCAGTCTCGGTCAGTCCCGTCAGTCCCGGTCAGACCTGGATGTTCGCAGACACGTAGAGGATGAGTCCCCGGTCGATCTGGTCCTGGGTGAAGGTCTGGATGTAGTCCAGCTGCGGAGACTCGTCTGAACCGTTGGACATTTTAACCACGTGTCCCAGACCCGGAGGAACCTTCACCGTGAACGCCATCTCTGAGGGAAGGATGTCCGCCTGCTCCACCTGCACACACACAACACACAATACACACACACACCCACACACCCACACCCACACACCCACACACACACACACACACACACACACACACACACACACACACACACACACACACACACACACACACACACACACACACACAAGAGTAAGAAGAGAAACACACACACACAGTAACAAGTAGACTTTGGGATCAGAGTCTGGTGTCTCGCTTCTGTCAGTGTGCCCCAGGGCAGCTGTGGCTACAGCGCTGAATTAAATCAAATAATGTGGTTCCACCAATAAATTACTTTGGTTGAATATTGAGTTTGAGAATATTTATTATATTTCTCAAAAAAAAAAAGAGAAACGATGTATAACAAATCCATATGAACCCAGACTCTCAGTTGGGGTCTGCACTGACATTAAAGTTCCATGTCCACTTCAGAGCCACAACACATCTGTTCACGGACCGCAAACGGCCCCCGCGCCGCGTGTCTGAAACCCCCCTTGTTATAATCACAGACTTGGAATTATTTGATTTTAAAACTGTGGTAAATATGAGTTTTTCCATCTCCGTCTCAGGCTTCTACTCAGCGTGTTGTGAAAGCTACACAGATATAAAGTGAGTGACATCACGGGGGCCCTCGGGGGGACTCGGGGGGACTCGGGGGGACACGGGGGGCCCTCGGGGGACACTGAAGCGCTCTGGTACCGTCCTAATACGCTGTAATTTAGAAAGTAAAACAGATTAAAAGCAGCGCCGCAGAAGTTGTGTTTAGCGCCGCTCTCATGTGGCGCTGAACACATGACGTGACTTACACAATGGGTCTGGGGACTGGAGAGAGCGGTGGGAAAATCATCCTAAAAGTTAAAAGTATAGAACTAATAAATGTTTGTGGCAGAAATCACCAGAGTGGAATGTTTACAGAGCAATGCATCGTTTGTTTGGTCTTTTCTTTAAAACCAGACGGATCGAAAACATCCTGTGTCTGTCGTTAAAGGAGACATGTTGTGATTTATTTGAGCCAGAAAAAATGCAATGATACTGTCTGTCTGTCTGTGTCTGTCTGTCTGTGTCTGTCTGTCTGTCTGTGTCTGTCTGTCTGTGTCTGTCTGTCTGTGTCTGTCTGTCTGTGTCTGTCTGTCTGTCTGGGTCTGTCTGTGTCTGTCTGTGTCTGTCTGTCTGTGTCTGTCTGTCTGTCTGTGTCTGTCTGTCTGTGTCTGTCTGTCTGTCTGTGTCTGTCTGTCTGTGTCTGTCTGTCTGTCTGTCTGTGTCTGTCTGTCTGTCTGTCTGTGTCTGTCTGTCTGTGTCTGTCTGTCTGTCTGTCTGTGTCTGTCTGTCTGTGTCTGTGTCTGTCTGTGTCTGTGTCTGTCTGTGTCTGTCTGTCTGTGTCTGTCTGTCTGTGTCTGTCTGTGTCTGTCTGTCTGTGTCTGTCTGTCTGTGTCTGTCTGTCTGTGTCTGTCTGTGTCTGTCTGTCTGTGTCTGTCTGTCTGTGTCTGTCTGTCTGTGTCTGTCTGTCTGTGTCTGTCTGTGTCTGTCTGTCTGTGTCTGTCTGTCTGTGTCTGTCTGTGTCTGTCTGTCTGTCTGTCTGTCTTTCTGTCTATATCTATCTATGTATGTCTGTCTATATCTATGTATCTATCTGTCTGTCTGTGTCTGATTTATTTGAGCCAGAAAAAATACAATGATACTGTCTGTCTCTCTGTCTGTCTGTCTATCTATGTATCTATCTGTCTGTCTGTCTGTCAATATATATCTTTGTCTGTCTGTCTATCTGTCCTTTAATTTAAAGAGTGCCAAAAGGTCTTCAAATCAAGATAAAAAACGACTTTCAAACTAATTTTGTTCAGGGGCTGAATAAAAACAGTAGGAACTGGTCGGGCCCAACAGAGTAGAATAGATTTCCTTTTCTTGTTTTCTTACTTTATGAAAGTGTTTTGACAGGACTTTAATTCATCTGAAAACAAAATGTGTTTATTGTTTAGACTGAACATTTACAGACACCAGAGAGGGACCAGGAAGAGACCACTAACAGACCAGAGGGAGACTAGAGACCAAAGAGACCAGAGAGAGACCAGAGAGAGACTAGAGAGAGACCAGAGAGAGACCAGAGAGAGACCAGAGAGGGACCAGAGAGAGACCAGAGAGAGACCAGAGAGAGACCAGAGAGAGACTAGAGAGGGACCAGAGAGAGACTAGAGAGAGACCAGAGAGAGACTAGAGAGAGACCAGAGAGAGACCAGAGAGAGGCCAGAGAGGGACCTAAGAGAGACCAGAGAGAGACTAGAGAGAGACCAGAGAGAGACCAGAGAGAGGCCAGAGAGGGACCAGAGAGAGACCAGAGAGAGACCAGAGAGAGACCAGAGAGAGACTAGAGAGGGACCAGAGAGAGACTAGAGAGAGGCCAGAGAGAGACCAGAGAGAGACCAGAGAGAGACCAGAGAGAGACCAGAGAGAGACCAGAGAGAGACCAGAGAGAGACCAGAGAGAGACTAGAGAGGGACCAGAGAGAGACTAGAGAGAGACCAGAGAGAGACCAGAGAGAGACCAGAGAGAGACTAGAGAGGGACCAGAGAGAGACCAGAGAGAGGCCAGAGAGAGACTATGAGAGACTAGAGAGAGACCAGAGAGAGACCAGAGAGAGGCCAGAGAGGGACCAGAGAGAGACCAGAGAGAGACCAGAGAGAGACCAGAGAGAGACCAGAGAGAGACTAGAGAGGGACCAGAGAGAGACTAGAGAGAGGCCAGAGAGAGACCAGAGAGAGACCAGAAAGAGGCCAGAGAGGGAGCAGAGAGGGACTAGAGAGACTAGAGACCAAAGAGACCATAGCGAGACCGGAGAGAGGCTAGAGAGAGACCAGAGAGAGACCGGAGAGAGACCACAAAGAGACCAAAGAGAGAGACCAGAGAGAGACCAGAGAGAGACCACAAAGAGACAAATCATGCCTGTGTAAGACGTACCTTGAGATGATCTTGGGTGATGACTGTGTGCTCCCCTTCGTAGGAAACAATCACTTCGTTGTTGATCACCTCCGGCTCCGACCTGTCTCCTTGCTTGAAAATCTTAATTTTGAAAGTGCCTTCTTCCGACCGCTCCTCCGCTTGGACCTCAAAGCTGAAGGAATCTTTGGACTTCAGACTTTCGTAGTTGTGTTCATACGAAACGACGCCTTTCTTTAAGTCTTCCTGCGTGAACTCCGAGGCCTCGATCCCGCTCACGATAATCCTTCCATCCTCCGGGGCTGCGATAATCCTAAACGTGATCTCGCTATCGTCCGTAATGTCTAGATTGGTCTCAGCGCTTAGGAGTGTAGTGTTGAGGGTTTTGGTTGCTCCGTGATCAATGACTATCATGGTATTGTTGATAATTCGGAGGTACGGGTCTCCTGCCTGTATCTGGATTAAAGCTGTGGTCTTGTGAAAACCGTCGGAAACTTGCAAAGAGAATCGCTCTTGATCTGCTCCGTGATGGATGAATAAAACCTTTTTGTCTCGTAGATCTGCTTGCGTGAACCGGAAAAGAGGTTGCGCCGGGTTGATGGACGAGACGATGTTGCCAGATAAGATTCCTTCGCGAGCGTAGACAATCTGGGAGTCGTTAAACCCAGAATCTTCATCCTTGAATTGGATTACGTCCGTGGTGAGAAGGCGCTGACCTTGCCGTACCACGTTCAAAACTTCATCGACGACTCTGACTGGGACGTGCTCGTTTTTGGTCAGGATCGTGATCTTAAAGACGCCCTTGATTGTTTCGTGGTCGTAGGAGGCTTGCGCTTCCTGGTCAAACGCAGAGAATTGAAACTCGTCGCTAGTCGTTTTGGATCCGTCGTGTTTGTACAGCAACCGGTCAAGCTCCAAGTCCTCATTGCTGAAAATACGGATTGCGCCTTCGAACTTTGGCATTCCCGGAGGTGAGTCCCTTACAATGCGTCCGTACTTTGGGCCCTGGGTAATTTGATACACGAAATCCCCCGCTTCTGACCCCTGCACCCAGAGATGATTTTTGTTTAAAGTTTCTTCGCCGCCCTGAAGCACAGTCAACATTTCATTGATCAAAACCGGAGCGTCGGCTGTTGCGATGATGTTGATGGGATACGTATACAAGGGCGAAAATCGATCTTGAGACGCAACTCTGAATTGAAAGGAGTCCACAGTGTCCACGGCTCTTTGCACACGCACTTTGTAGCTTAGAGTATTGTCCAGAATGTCTTGTTGAGTGAAAACATCTCCTTCTCCTAACTGCGTGTCCAGCAACTGCAGCACGCCAAGCATCGGAGGTGTCACCAGGACATATTGTAAAATTTCTGGATCTGCATTTTGTCCGATTACCTCAGCGTTGAGTTGAGTTTGCTTGATGATCTTAACCTCTCCTCCGAAGACGTCAAGTGGGACTATTTTGGCAACCTTAACTTGAGCTGGTGCAATGTTAACCATAAAAGTATTATTCCAAAGGCTGTAATGTCCCAAATGAGCATTGAATTCAATCATTTCCACAACATCATCTTCTTGATCGGTTGAGTCTGTGCTGAAGTATTTAACCCGTTCTTGTTCGAGGTCGGATTGACGGAAACTGGAAACTTGCTCGTACACACCGTACTCAGTCATCACCTGCAGTTCACCGTAAACCAACGGCTGGGTGACGTTGAACAGGATATCTCCGTTCCGAGGATTGGAAAGAATCGCCAAGTTTTCGATTCCAATAGTTGCGTTGCTTCCTTGCGTCAAGTAAATCCCGGTGTTTGTCACGATCGTCATGTGTGGCTTGATAGCGACGAGGTTGAAGGTAGTGGAGTGGCTTTCAGACTGGCCATCGGAGACTTCTAACGTCATATCGAAGGCGCTTTCTCCGCCCCGGTGCACAAAGTAGATATTTCCGTCTTTCAAGTCTCTGCAGGTGAACTCTGTGATGGGGTTTCCAGGCTGTTTGTCATTCTCAAGATAACCAACTTCTAACGGAGGCTCCGAAGTCACGGTTACCAAGAGCCCGTTGCAACGAGTGTCCGTATCCACAATTTTGATAAGACTCGGGCTCAGACGTGTCCTTCCCCTTTCCGTAATAGTAATTTCGCCTCCACCAAGTTGTGGGATATCATTAACTGGGATTATTTCCACTGGTAGAACGTAACTTTGGGGAGATTTTAGACACTCCGGCAAGTTGTCAATCCCTTGCGCAACTACTTCGAATTGAATTTGATCTGGGTGCCTCTCGTTGCCGTCGTGCATGTACTTTATGTGCTTATCAACCAGATCTTGAAGGGTGAACTTGAGAAAGCGCTTGTTGCTGGTGTTGATATCGACCAGGCCGTAAAATGGGTCATTCTTCAGCGTGACTAGGATTTGGGATTTCGTCAACCCAGCTGCGCCCAGGTCAAACGTAGGGAGTAGGTTTTGCAACGCGATCACAACCTCCCCGCCTTCGGGCACAAGAAGCTGGCTCACGTCCAACAGTTTCGTGACATTTCTGAAAATTTCCGGAGTGTCTTCGTTGGGGAAACAATGCTGCTCGGTGTCGATTTGGTCGTAGGCAGTAATAACCGGTGGGGCGGTCGTGGCCGTGTCCTCGTAATAATTTGAGTAGTCGTAGTCCTCTCCTTCGCATTTCACATGGATGTCTTTGGTCACGATTGCGTCTTGCAGGTTTCTGTCCTTGTTGTTGACTTTAACTTCCCCCAGGCAACCGATGAATGATTCAACAGTCATCTCTTCCTCAGCCCGGCTCAAGGATCCACTCTCACGAAACACTTCTTTCATTTTCTCTTGGATTCCTCCCAGATAAAGATTACCAACCAAATCCAGCTTTTGGGAGGAATCTATTGTAAGGGCGACGACTTGGCTGTCCACGTGAACCTCAAATGAGTTTTCCTTAATTTCAATTCTAACCCTGTGCCATTGGTCATCCTCAACTTGTACATGTGTATTCACCACGACTTTCATGCCGTTGCCGAAGTCTACCACGCCTGTCAGAAACCCGCCCATGACCCCGACTGCGATGAAGTTGTTGTCTAAGCCGGGGTGGAACACTAGCAATGCGTCTTCGATGGTGGTTTTCATCAGAAACTCCAAACTCCTCGCTCCTCCGGTCGTTTTGCTCCAAGTCGGGAACGATATGAAAGATTGTGGCGTGCTAAAACTGGTGGTCTCGCCATCTACTGCTTCGAACTCGCTACTGCAGGACTCCTTGGTGTCGTGGCAGTCTTTGAACGCGTTGTTGAGGATGTCGAACTCGTGCGACTCGAACTTCACGTCGGTCATGCAGCCGCGGAAAGGAGGGATGGCGTTTCTGAGGTAGGACGCCTCTAGGTTCCCGGTGCCTCCGAGAAAAACGCCAACGTCGATGTTGAGTTCTTCGCCGTCGTCGGACACCGGGACATAGGTGGAGAAGCTGTCGTCGATGGTCATGGTGAGCGTGTCTTCGGTCAGCGTCAGGGAGACTTTGTGGTCCAGGAGGTTGTTGAGCTGAACACCCGAAGAAGAAGTCAGCGTGACCTCCCCCGAGCCCAAGTTCATCCGGGCCTGAAGGAAACATGAAGGAGATGTAGTCATTTTTATTGTTTTAGAATTATTTCATGAAAGAGCACCTATCGCACACAAAATATTAATAAAAAAAAAGTGTATGGCTTCACCAGATGTTCTTTCCTTTTCTTTTCACCACAAAATACGCATTAGTAAGTGTGTTGTTCATAATTTGGGAGGGGAGGGGGGAGTGGTTGGGTGGAGAGGGAGGGGAGGGGGGAGTGGTTTAGTGGCGAGGAAGGGGAGGGGGAGTGGTTTGGTGGATAGCGAGGGGAGGGGGGAGTGGTTTCGAGTTGGTGCAACGGCTAAGCTAACAACATCGCTAACTGCACCTTTAAGTTTGTAGTATGCCTGGTTAACATGATAATTTATGTAAAACTGAATATTTCTTGTTTTTCTATATTTTTATGAAGTTTTCACTCTGTGGTGGAGCCTCTTGTACGGTGTGGTCTGCGTAAACAGCAGCATCACAGAGAGGGACAGGAAGAAGCTGGACAAGGTCATCAGGACGTCCAGCTCAGTCCAGGGCTGTTCCCTGGACACAGTGCAGCAGGTGGGGGACAGGAGGGTCCTGAGCAAACTAACATCTATGCTGGACCATGACTGTCACCCCCTGCAGGACACTCTCTCTGCTCTGGAGAGCAGTTTCAGTGACAGACTAATTCACCTTCGCTGTGTGAAGGACAGGTTCCGTAGGTCTTTCCTTCCTGCTGCTGTCAGACTGTACAATAAGAACTGCTGAGCCTGTAAATTTCATTCATCTGTAATTAAGTAAATTCTTAAATCATGTGCAATGTGCAATACTGCAACTTCAGAATGTCACAGAACAATGTCACTTTACCTCATGTCACTTTACTTATATACTTTTTATCCTGCACTATTAACTGTACAGTATATCACTGCACTACTACATATATATTTTTTGACTGGTATTGAAGCATTTTCAGCATCAGCTAGTTATGTTAGCTAAGAAACATAGCTACTACTTATTTGTATATAGTGTATATAATGTGTGTGCTCCCTGTGTGCTCTTACTACTGTCCTGTCTGTGCGATGCAACATCGAAATAACCCCACTGTGGGACGAATAAAGGAATTCTTATCTTATATTATATTCTGGTTTTTCACAATAAAGAAAATAATTATTACGTCGACTCGGTGTTTTGTCCACAGAACACTAAAGTATTTAAATACGTCATGAATAAAAACGATCTTGGTCGTCTGAGCTGAGGTAGAATTATTTTTAGCCGTGACATTGCTCTGAAGATTCTCCAAAAACAATATATTTCCTTAATTTGTTGAGTTTTTTTAACCAAATAAAATTGAAATAAAGCAGGTTTGAAATAACCCGCTCCACCTTTAATGTTCTTATTTATAGACTTCAGTAAAACATGTAATTAACGTCATCGTACCTGCCTCAATATGATGATGGAAAACTAATTAATCAACTAATTACACATGTTTTATCATTATCACTAAATTAGCATAAATATGAAGAGATTCTCATTTCAGTGTCGTCAGTTCTATTTCACTTTACACATGTTTCAGTTTGATACAATAGTGCACGATGGTCTCTCTCTCTGGTTTCTCTCTCTCTTGTCTCTCTGGTCTCTCTCTCTGGTTTCTCTCTGGTCTCTTTCTGGTCTCTCTCTCTGGTCTCTCTCTGGTCTCTCTCTGGTCTCTCTCTCTGGTCTCTTTCTCTCTGGTCTCTGTCTGGTCTCTCTCTCTGGTTTCTCTCTCTCTGGTTTCTCTCTCTCTGGTCTCTCTCTCTGGTCTCTTTCTGGTCTCTCTCTGGTCTCTCTCTCTGGTCTCTTTTTGGTCTCTCTCTGGTCTCTCTCTGGTCTCCCTCTCTGGTCTCTTTCTGGTCTCTCTCTCTGGTCTCTCTCTCTGGTCTCTCTCTCTGGTCTCTTTCTGGTAACTCTCTCTGGTCTCTTTCTGGTCTCTTTCTGGTCTCTCTCTGGTCTCTTTCTGGTCTCTCTTTCTGGTCTCTTTCTGGTCTCTCTCTCTGGTCTCTTTCTGGTCTCTCTCTCTGATCTCTTACTGGTCTCTCTCTCTGGTCTCTTTCTGGTCTCTCTCTCTGGTTTCTCTCTCTCTGGTCTCTCTCTCTGGTTTCTCTCTCTCTGGTCTCTTTCTGGTCTCTCTCTCTGATCTCTCTCTCTGGAATCTTTCTGGTCTCTCTCTCTGGTCTCTCTCTGGTCTCTTTCTGGTCTTGCTCTGGTCTCTCTATCGGGTCTCTCTCTCTGGTCTCTCTCTCTGGTCTTTTTCTGGTCTCTCTCTCTTGTCTCTCTCTCTGATCTCTTTCTGGTCTCTCTCTCTGGTCTCTTTCGGGTCTGTCTCTCTGGTCTCTCTCTCTGGTTTCTCTCTCTCTGGTCTCTCTCTCTGCATGGTCTCTTTCTGGTCTCGCTCTGGTCTCTCTCTCGGGTCTCTCTCTCGGGTCTCTCTCTCTGATCTCTCTCTCTGGTCTCTCTCTCTGGTCTCTTTCTGGTCTCTCTCTCTGGTCTCTCTCTGGTCTCTCTGGTCTCTCTCTGGTCTCTCTCTGGTCTCTCTGGTCTCTCTCTGGTCTCTCTCTGGTCTCTCTCTGGTCTCTCTCTGGTTTCTCTCTTTGGTTTCTCTCTCTCTGGTTTCTCTCTCTCTCTCTGGTTTCTCTCTCTCTGGTCTCTCTGGTCTACTGTTGTTTTAGTCGGACCCCTGCTCTGTGATGTCATAGTGGCACAATACTATCAAAGCAAAGAGACAGGAGCTTATGGGCAGAAAGGGGCGGAGCTTCATCTTCCTGATATCAGCGTGGATGGAGCTAAAAACCACCCCAGGTCTCCAGGTTTCTGACGAGGACCGGTGTCTTCTCTCACCTGGACGTTGCCGTTGTGCAGCTCCAGGAACAGATAGTCCTCGGTACCAGCAGCCAGCAGCAGCAGCCCGCTCCTCCTGCTGGTCTTCATGGTCACGGACACCTCGAACGTGGACAGGTCCTGGAACGGCTTCAGGACGCAGTAACTGTCCCCGAAGTACGAAGCTGCACCAGAGACAAACACAACCTCAGGTCAGAGAGAGACCAGAGAGAGAGACCAGAGAGACCAGAGAGACCAGAGAGAAACCAGAGAAAGACCAGAGAGAGACCAGAGAGAGAGAGAGACCAGAGAGAGACCAGAGAGAGAGAGACCACAGAGAGACCAGAGAGAGACCAGAGAAACCAGAGAGAGACCAGAGAGACACCAGAGAGAGACCAGAGAGACACCAGAGAGACACCAGAGAGAGACCAGAGAGAGACCAGAGAGAGACCAGAGAGAGACCAGAGAGAGAGAGACCACAGAGAGACCAGAGAGAGACCAGAGAAACCAGAGAGAGACCAGGGAGAGACCTGCAGCTGATACAGGACCATTTGGACTGATGGAAGTGAAAGAGCAGGGGTTTCAAACATGCAGCCTGGGTAAAAGGTGTTTAAGAGATCCTTTGTTAGTCCCACAGTGAGGAAATGTCAGTGTTGCATCGTTACAGAACTGTAGGAATGAAGAGCACACAGCACAAGATAAATGAACAATAACTCTGTTCTAAATACAATACAATCTTAGCATTTAGCACAAAATCCAAGGTCAGTTTGGTCCACTCTGAGAGTCTGGGCTAATATGGTATGAGACACATCGTATACAGAGCGACCAGAGAGAAACCAGAAAGACCAGAGAGACCAGAGAGAAACCAGAAAGACCAGAGAGACCAGAGAGAAACCAGAAAGACCAGAGAGACCAGAGAGAAACCAGAGAGAGAAACCAGAGAGAGAGACCAGAGAGAGAGAGACCTGCAACTCTGCAGCCGTTATCGTGTTAACAAGATAATCCATCTGACCAGTCTTTCAAAAGAACCACTAAAATCCCACATGGTTTGATTTAGTAACAGCCTTTTCTGGTACTCTCAAGTGTTGTACCATCGTCTGTCTCCTGTCGTCTTCCTGACACTTTATATTTCAGCTCAATTAGACATTTCTCCACATTCTCCTGAGGCTCAGCTTAAGCTCAGCTGCTCCAGCCTCAAAGGACTCTCTCTCAGTGAGACAGACCGGAGGGTTTCCCAGGCTCTCCATATGCAAATGAGCCACCTGGACCGCCGCGCTCTCCCAGGCCCTCTCTGGTCTCTCTCTGGTCTCTCTCTGGTCTCTCTCTGGTCTCTCTCTGGTCTCTCTCTCTGGTCTTTCTCAGGTCTCTCTCTGGTCTCTCTCTCTGGTCTCTCTCTGGTCTCTCTCTTGTCTCTCTCTCTGGTCTCTCTCTCTGGTCTCTCTCTGGTCTCTCTCTGGTCTCTCTCTCTGGTCTCTCTCTGGTCTCTCTCTGGTCTCTCTCTGGTCTCTCTCAGGTCTCTCTCTGGTCTCTCTCTGGTCTCTCTGGTCTCTGGTCTCTCTCTCTGGTCTCTCTCTGGTCTCTCTCTCTGGTCTCTCTCTGGTCTCTCTCTGGTCTCTCTCAGGTCTCTCTCAGGTCTCTCTCTGGTCTCTCTCTGGTCTCTCTCTGGTCTCTCTCTCTGGTCTCTCTCTGGTCTCTCTCTCTGGTCTCTCTCTGGTCTCTCTCTGGTATGTCTCTGGTCTCTCTCTGGTCTCTCTCTGGTCTCTCTCAGGTCTCTCTCTGGTCTCTCTCTGGTCTCTCTGGTCTCTCTCTGGTCTCTCTCTCTGGTCTCTCTCTGGTCTCTCTCTGGTTTCTCTCTGGTCTCTCTCTGGTCTCTCTCTGGTCTCTCTGGTCTCTCTCTGGTCTCTCTCTAGTCTCTCTCTGGTCTCTCTCTGGTCTCTCTGGTCTCTCTCTGGTCTCTCTCTGGTCTCTCTCTGGTCTCTCTCTGGTCTCTCTGGTCTCTCTCTGGTCTCTTTCTGGTCTCTCTAAAGCTAATGTATGTTCATAAAGCTACAGCTCCTTGTATAGTGATGGGGGCGGGGATGGGTGATAGGTGAAAACAGATATTTCCCAGCCTCCAACAGAACCACAGCCTGTCCTGTTCCCAGCTCCAGAGGGTCCCTGAACGTCTCATAAATCAGACAGAAACATGAATGCTCCTTTCATTTCAGGCTAATTTAACGACATTAAAAGTTTTGGGGAAAAAGCTTGAGATTTGACCACAAAGAGACGAGAGACCCAGAGTCTCATGATGACCAGGATGAGTCACACCAACTCCCTCCAGAAAGACACAGGCTCAGACCACATCCGACAAGCTTTCAACAGAGGAAACATCAATCACAATTGTTTAGTTTTTGCCCTTTTTCAAACTGATACTGTTATATTAGTATATTATTACTGTTATATTAGTATATTATTACTGTTATATTAGTATATTATTACTGTTATATTAGTATATTATTACTGTTATATTAGTATATTATTACTGTTATATTAGTATATTATTACTGTTATATTAGTATATTATTACTGTTATATTAGTATATTATTACTGTTATATTAGTATATTATTACTGTTATTACTGTTATATTAGTATATTATTACTGTTATATTAGTATATTATTACTGTTATTACTGTTATATTAGTATATTATTACTGTTATTACTGTTATATTAGTATATTATTACTGTTATATTAGTATATTATTACTGTTATATTAGTATATTATTACTGTTATATTAGTATATTATACTGTTATATTAGTATATTATTACTGTTATTACTGTTATATTAGTATATTATTACTGTTATTACTGTTATATTAGTATATTATTACTGTTATATTAGTATATTATTACTGTTATTACTGTTATATTAGTATATTATTACTGTTATTACTGTTATATTAGTATATTATTACTGTTATATTAGTATATTATTACTGTTATATTAGTATATTATTACTGTTATATTAGTATATTATACTGTTATATTAGTATATTATTACTGTTATTACTGTTATATTAGTATATTATTACTGTTATTACTGTTATATTAGTATATTATTACTGTTATATTAGTATATTATTACTGTTATTACTGTTATATTAGTATATTATTACTGTTATTACTGTTATATTAGTATGTTATTACTGTTATATTAGAATATTATTACTGTTATATTAGAATATTAAGACTGTTATATTAGTATATTATTACTGTTATATTAGAATATTATTACTGTTATATTAGTA